TATATATATATATATATATATATATATATATATATATATATATATATATATATATATATATATATATATATATATATATTAGATGAAGTAAAAAGTTCTGAGCGTTTTCCGCTAGATGTCTTTAGCGAAAAAACGCTCAGAACTTTTTACTTCACCTAATATATATATATTTATATAACTTTAATAAGTATATAATAATTTTTATAAATTTTAATTTAATTTAATTAATTAAGGTTAACTAAGGTATATGTAGCAGCATCATGTAAAATTCATGTCTTGAATATATAGAATATCTAGGCATTTTATAAAATATCTATATGTCATAATTTTTATATGATAAATATAATACCTACGTATTCTATACAATATCGGATTTTTCATTTTGCTGGTAACATACTTATTTCTACACGCTACAATGATTTATATGCACACATTTCAGAAAACTATATGTCAGCAAGTTTTCTACTTGGCCTTTTCTCTCTAAGACTTCGTCGAACAGGAACTAAAACGAAGAAGATGTCGATTTAATATTTAAATGATAACTAAACATTATTAAATATATTAATTGACGTGTTACTTTACCGTGTAACGAATAAGAAGTTAAAGAACAAATTAAAGAAGTAATTTAACACACTACAGACCACTACTCTTCCTCTGTGACTGGGTAAAATTTAAAAATAAGAAATTTAAAAAACCTCAAATTTAAGAAATTAAAACAGAAGAAAATTCTTTATTTATCTGGTACAAATTCTTATTTTACATCCAACTTTTGTTCTTATTTATCTAATTATTTATAAGAAACAAATGTAAAATCAATGAAGTAACTATAATATTTTATCACCAACAAATATAAAAAATTTTGAAAATTTTCTTATATATTTTGTTGGAAATATTCGTCAATATGTAGTGAAATTTTATGTTTTGTAAAACATGTGCTGTAAATTCTATTAACATGTTCGCTACTAACGTCATCTATGTGTCACAACAAAAATTTTTTTCCTATTTCTACATTGAAACTATAAGTCTGTTTTACACAATATGTAAAAAAAAAAGAAAAAATACGAGGTGATTTGTGGGGAGACATCTCAAAATAAACCGTAGTAGCGAACGTGTTAAATCCATAATATATTTCCACTGTTAACATTTGTATAATTAAATTATATAAATATGTAACTATACAATTTTTTGTTGTAAGTTTCCCTTATAAATCCTTTTTAATTTTATATTTGAAGTATAATATATAAATATATATTATATTGAAGTATAATATATAAATATATCCACATGGTCTGTAATGTGTTAATAATATTTAAAATATCTTCTTTAAAAGTAATTTATGTAAAATGCAGACCTGTTGATTTAGAGATATTTTGTTTTTTCGTTGTATGTTGCTTGACTCCGGAAGTTCCTGGAGTCATGTTTGACGACTCGAATGTTTTAATTTTACATGGATTAAACATAGCAGGCATTTTATTAAAGTGTTTGAGTGTCGGAGTCATTAACATTGTGTCTATAGGTGGCCACGGTGTGACAGGAATTGTCTTGAACGTTTCATAAATTGAGTGTAAATCAAAGGTGTTTTTCCTGAAAACACATTTTCAAACATATGTCGTTTTGTTAGATATACAAATCTTTCAGTATGTATGACAAGCTTTCTCGAGCAATTATTATATTATTATATTTATCGTTCATTTGAACAATACTTACCCACATTCTTCAACTTTTTTATAAACGTATGCAAACGGTCCATGTTGTGCGATATGTCGCATAATGTATCGGCCAGGCATTAGACAGGATAATCTCTCAATTACATTATGTAAAAGTGATAAAGAATCTTCCACCTTGACGTTGTGAAGTCTTTTTATCTCATTGCTCAAAGACATTGCTGTGTGTCTTTCTATTTGTATTACTTCTCCTGATTCTGCTGCTATCCTGACTTTAGTGACACAAAAACAGTTATACACACAACATCTAATTATGCAATTTAATTACACACGTTACTGTAATTATAAATACCATAATACCTCGAGCTAATAATGTATTTGGACTAAACACTAGTGACACCCATTGCTGCAAACCTTCCTCCAATGTTGCAGCTTCTGCTCCTAATGATAACTGATGCTCCAGTTTTGGCACTAATATTAGAGATTGCAACTGTCCGTTCGGTAACACCTACAAAAACAAAGTTTCGAGGCGAAACTTTTGTGTATTATAATTTTGTATTTATTAGTAACGAAAAGCGTACAACAGATATTATTTCACCTCAATAAAATTTGTTTTAGTCCGAACCAATATTTGATATTCTTTTGGAATATCTTTTAACAATTTATATTGGTCTTGTGATTCCGTTGGTCCTATTGTGAAGAGCTTGTATGTTACGTTCTTTTTTTCTTGCATATTCGTTGAAGATAAGGGATTTTTTTCAAGATTGATTTCGTCGTCACTCATTAAAAAACTGGATATTTCTGCAAAAATATTTTTTGTATTGGAGATGTGTGTGTGTGTGTGTATATATATATATATATATATATATATATATATATATATATATATATATATCTTTTTTATGTTTTACATATGTATTCGGTAAACGATTTACCGTTAAATTCCTCATCGACCTCGGAGAGTGGTTCGTCTTTTTCTGTAGATGTTACCCTAAAATATTTCATAATGTATTGTTTGATCTTTATATAATATTATATTTTATGGCTTACTCTTTTTTTGGTGATTTAATTTCAGTAGGAACAAGACAATGCCTAAGAATATATTTGTACACCCAAGTGTTTTTCTGCGATGCAGTGGCGGCAACAGGTGGTAATTTTTTATCGATATAAATAACATTCTTTCCATTATGTGGCTTTATAATTACTGGTATAGTCCAAGAGTTTGAGTAATCTGAGCCAATGTTGTTCACTATGCACTTAAGACCACTGGATGAAATGACTAAATCTACTTTAGCCTCTTCTGCAAAATTCGTACAATATATATCCTCGCTCACAGGTAATTTAAAGGGAGGTAATGATGATGATAAGCACACTGGGTATTTCTTGAATAATGTCGTATTATCCATCTCCAAAATATATGGCTCATCAAATTTTGGCAGTACCACTTTTGAAAGCACACCCTGAAAAAATAAATTGAATATATATGTCTCATAAATATAGAAGAATTTTTATGTTAATAATTCTTACTTGCTGTAAATAAGAAACACATTTCACAGTAACATTTTTATTTGAAGAAAATGGAACATTTGAAGATTCTACATAGTATCGGGGAAGTTTCTTCAATTCAATCATTTGTTTACCCCACTTTAATTCTATATATATTTCGTGTTTAATACACCATGAAGTATCTTCATCCCACATCTTCTTTGCAAATTTCAGAAATTCACTTTGTTCTGCAGATATTACTTTTTGTAATGCCTAGAAAAATATTTTAAGTTAACCATAATTATGATATACAAATCAAAGCAAAACCCATGTTTATAGTTACAAATTAAATCTGAAAATTTATATTTCAATTACTTTAGAGAAAAAATATATTCTTAATTTAATTAATGTAGGAAGCAATATATTTTAAATGATCAATGTTTGTTTACCATATAATGTTCAAGCTCAGTTTTCTCTTCTGCTGATATTGATATTATTTGATTGCTAAGGAGTCGCAACAAAGCACGAGTGCATGTAGCTTGCTGTTCACAATTTAAACTTGATTTCCTAGGAAAATTAATTGGTTGTTTTTTGATTCCAGGTATGTAAGACTTTTTATTGTTTACAATCTCTTGTTTCTTCTGGTGTTTTTGGAGATTTTTGGTGTTTTGTTCATGTTGTTCTTCTTGTTCTTTAATTGTAAAATTTTCTTCATCTTCATCCTTATCTAGATCACTGACATTTTCATTAAAACATTTTAACAATTGTGTGTTAACCTCAGTATAATCTTCTTCTATATTATCAAATGGATCTTTAAAGATACCATTTATAATTTGGTATGTCGCACTGTCTCTTTGTATTCTTTCATCACTAATGAATACATCGTCTATCAAATTTTCTAAAGGAACATTCCTAGAATCATAAGATACATTACAATCAATATTTGTAGCAAGGTATTTAATAATCGTAAAATATATAGGATACATCAACAAAAATCAATTCCAATCAATTCCAAAGCATGTATTTAATATTACTAATCACCATTCAAATAATCCAAAGATAATTGAGAGAATTATATTTGTGACAAACAACAATTATAAGTTTTGTCTACAAATAAATTTATGTTTTCGAAACTTTGAATTATTTCGTGAAATCGATTATATACATACCAATTAATTAGTTTAAATTTGTCCATGTTTATAAGATATATTTTGTATTGTATCACGCACACTGCAACGTATCAAAAATGCTTATTTTCCAAGCATGTGCTTATGATGACAAGCTATGTGAATAATTTGAATATACTTTTTACCGGCTTGTTTATTTACTTCGTTTAGAGGACACTCATTTAAGGCTAGTTCTACAATAGATGCATTCAGTACTACAACCGCTCACTGAGCGCTCAGTGAGCTCTTACATTTGATTGGTATATATTTATATATCTAAAAGAATATGCCAATAGAATGCAAGAGCTTATTGAGCGCTCAGTAAGTGATTGTAGTACTGAATGTACCAATACGTTATTTGCCGAAGTCAAACGTCATTGGCTGCGTTCTAAAACTCTACTCGATGGATAGAGTAGTATTTAATTGACTAATAAGAACAAAGATAACTAGGATTTCTTTATCATGATTGGTCAATTAAATGTACTCTATCCACCGAGTAGAATTTTGGAACGCAGCCATTGAGTGCTCTCCCTCAATTTTTATTTCATTCTCGTATCTCTTTCACTTCAACGAGTGCTGCGTAACGTTTCTAAACGCACTTTTAGATGAATTTCGAAGTGCTACAAAGAAAGACTAATAAGGCCTGTTCTTCAATACGTGGTATGTCGCTGTCGTATGAGCCAATCAGAGGATTTGTTTTTCGAGACGAGTTCTCTTCGATTTATGATGGCCGTAGTCCGTTAACTTATACCGGAACTATAAAAAATTGACCAATCACAGTTGATTATTCTTCTATAATTCGACTATGATTAGTCAATTTTTTACGGTTCCGGCATAAGTTAACAGATTATCGCCATCATAAACCAGCCTTTATCCTTCGATACCTATTAGTCCCGATCTACAATAAGTGTAGTAAACTTTAAGGCATAAGAAATTGACCAATCACGATTGATTATTCTTCTATAATTCGACTATGATAAGTCAATTTCTTAAAGCTTAAAGTTTACTACATCTATTGTAGATCGACCCTTAAGGGACGTCTACATTGGAAGTAAGCAGTAAGAAGTAGGAAGTAAGAATAAGAAATTGACCAATCATAGTTGATTATTCTTCTCACATTCGACTGTGGTTGGTCAATTTCTTACTCTTACTTCCTACTTCTTGTTATTTACTTCCAATGTAGACGTCCCTTTAGTCCCGATCTACAATAGGTGTAGTAAGCTTTAAGCCGTAAAGCGTCTTCTACAATGGCAGTAGGAGTAGTAGTAAGAAATAAGCAGTAAGTAAATAGACCAATCACAATCGATTATTTTTGAAACGTGAGAATGGAATTGGTCAATTTGCTTACTGCTTATTTCTTACTACTACTCCTACTGCCATTGTAGAAGACGCTTAAGAAACCAATCACGATTGATTATTCTTTTATAATTCGACTATGATTGATCAATTTCATAAAGCTTACTATACCTATTATAGGGTGCGTTCAGATTCTTCATCCGGGTGTACTCTATTACTAGAAACACTATAGTACATGTTACATATACTATAACACTTCTAGTAATAGAATCCACCCGGGTGTGGAATCTGAACGCAGCCATAGATCGGGACTTATGGACTTCTTCGGAATCAATTCCGATCGGAATAATTCCGTTTCCCCTAGAAAAGACAATAGAAATCTAGGAAATAACTAAATGTTTCCGATCGGAATTAAATTGAAATTTAGCCAATTAGAGCAAAATTCACTAAACTCAAGTTTGGTAAACTTTGCTCTAATTGGCCAATTTTCAATTCAATCTCAATCTTAATCCGTAGTCTTACGGATACGGTACGGGCTTAAATTAGAGATGCCCGATTCTTAATCGATTCAATTCTTTCCTTAACAAATTTAGGGAAAAAGGGTTATTCGTGCTGCTTGCATGTTTCATATTTTTCGCTTTTAAAAAGAGATGGACGCCTAATCAGACGCTTGGAAGAAACAATCGAGTTGGTTGTCTCGCTTTTGCTTCTTCCAAATATTCCAATATACTTTTGTCTGGTTTTAAATACGAAAAGTGCGAAGAATATAAACAACTCGAATAAGATTATATATGGGGAAAGAATCAAATTGATTCAGATTCGGGCATCTCTAGCTTAAATGCGCAACAAATTAAATATAAATTATCGGTCTGTTCTTTATAATTGCGTTTCCATCTTAGGCTGCGTTCAGATTCCTTACCCGGGTGCACTCTAATACAAGAAGTGCTATAGTATATGTGACATATACTATAGTGTTTCTAGTAACAGAGTGCACCCGGGTAGGGAATCTGAACGCACCCTTAAGTGTAGATAGTGGGTGCTTTTTAGCTACGTACACTTAACTACACTAAAGCTAGCGGTACACGATGCTTGTTTTTATGCTGGATTGCTTGCTGGATGGAAATATTCTGTTCTGATTGGTGCATTTCTGAAGACGGAATCAGAATAGAGTATTTCCATCCAGCAAGCAATCCAACACGAAAACAAGCCGCTGTCTTAACTTAACGTACATATACTTGTTACATAAGCCAGTTTATTGGTTGTATATTATCTTACAAGATATTTTAGATAATATGTGACCAATAAACTGGTTTTATATAACAGGGTAACGTAGCTGGAAAGCACCCAGTGCAACCACTTAATGCATTTGTAAAGAATAGAGTTAATATATATTATGATTTATGATTTATTTTTGTTCTTTTAATAATTTTATATCCATTTCCTCTTAAAAATCTCTTTTTTTATCCTATGAATCGAATAAAAATTGGGTAAAATCGAAAAACCTATTGCTATTTGATTCTATGATTGCGAAAGATCGTCTGCTGTCATTTAAAATCACAAGGGATACGTCAAACTCGGCTTGAACAATTTAGACAAGATGAATTTGGGAAGAATGGCTGGTTTGAATATTTTTAACAAAATTCGTCAATTCGGTAGGTTTTATATGAACTTCGTGATGGTTTCATGCTCATGTTTGCTTATTTTCATAAGATAAACAGAATTCTTTTTGTATAACCTGAAACTACGTTTACATAATCACTTAGTGAATAGAAAGCTTATGATATAAGCTGTAAATCGGTAAATACAATCGTTACCAATATATTCTAATTACGTTTTGTGCAATTAGCATAATATTATGATAATCAATGATCCTATTACAGAGACATTGGTCAAGCCCACTGGTTTACTTGCACGAAGATGCACTTCAATGCAATTTCCCAAACCTACATCAAGTCTTGCAAAGCTGAACTACTGTACAATAGCTAAAACGAGCTACTGTCCAAAATATCGTATCTTGTCAAAGGTTAAGAATTTTCTAGAAAAGATTTTCTGTTAGAAAGTTTGCACAACATGTTCAATCTTGTTGTATGCCTTTTAGTTGTCTGCACGATTGACAGTCAATATGAGTCAGTCTCGTGCAGCAGGCACACACCATGGTGATCATGTACGTACGTGGGTGATGGAAAGATTGGTTTCTGTATCTCTCCTGGCACTAATACCTGTTGCACTGCTGTGTGAAAATAAAATTATTGATGCAGCACTGGCAGTTGCTGCTGTCATGCATTCACACTGGTAAGTGATAATTTTTGAGAAAAATAATTTTATTTATCTCTTTATAGATCTAACTTTCTATTTCTTTTTTTAGACCTGGTTGCACAACTTGAGTTTAATTTGTTAAAAACTTGTCCAGACAAACTTACATAATCACATATTGCATATACATAAGGAAATCGACTAATCATTATCCGTACAGTGAAAGGATGCCTCTTGTATCAGACATATTGTATATCACATTAGTCAATTTCTTTGTGCATATGAATCATGCATATAACTAAGCAAGTTTGTCTGGAGATCTTTAACAGATTAAACTCTAGTTAAAATAAGTTGTGAAACTGAGCTTTAATCCTATTTGTGTTAATCGTGCAGTAAGCTAAACTAACAATTAAATCATATGTTTGTTTTGTTATTTCTTTAAAATATATACAAAGACAGATATATGGTTTAACTGTTTGTTACTTTATCACTTGGTTAGTGCAACTAGGTCTTATGTTATTTTAAGAATAATGTTATTCCATTAGATTGAACTTTTGCAAACTATACAGCTTATAATTAAGATACAAGCAATGAATAAATCTGTATAGGGGGCTGGAAGCCATCGTAATCGATTACGCACGGCCCATCGTGGTAGGTACAATAGTACCGAAAGTCGCACATTTAATGCTGAATCTACTTTCCGCTGCTACTCTCGCTGGCTTGCTTCTACTTATCTATAACGGCCCTGGCCTCGCAAAAGTGATCAAGCAAGGCTGGGCGATAAGCAGCGACAAACGTAAAGTTGATTAAGTACGTCAATGATACGGCAGTACGGAAACGGTCGTGTTGTGTATTACAAATTTTCTATAATAGCTTATAAATTACTCCAGAATAAATTATTTCTCCCTCAATAATACTGTTTTTTCTCTCTTATGTGCATGTAATAGTTTTATCATATATTAAATTATATATTAAAAATGATATTGTATTATTTTATATACATGTATATACTTCTAACTAGCAAAGTGTATGACGAGCACTATAGAGAATTGAAATTTAAAGTAAAATAGTAAACATATAATGAGCTAAAAAAAATATTATTTATTCTATTAATATTTCATATTACAAATTAATAATAACAAACATATTGATTACATTATTGTCATGTAAAATAAGTGTACAACAGACAGAGTTTGGACATATCAACAGGTAAGTTGTCAGATTTATTTGCCAACAGCAGCGGCAACCTTGTTTATAAATGTTGCCAGTTTCACATCTCTCTGCGATAATCCGTTCACATCATGAGACGACAGAGTGATATTCACTTTGTTATAAACATTGAACCATTCGGGATGATGGTCCATCTTTTCAGCTTGCAAGGCGACTCTCGTCATAAATCCAAAAGCCTAGAAGTTAAAATATAGGCTAGAATATTTGATTGTTAGGTAATAAAGCATAAAATGATATTGTGAACATTAGGTCTTTTGGGTCTTTAGACAAGTCCAAACGCACCTCATTGAAGTTGTTAAATACAAACTCCTTGTAGATTGCGTCTCTGTCTGACTGAATGGTCCATCCTGTTGACAGTAGCGGACTCAAACTCTGCTGTCTTTCCTCAGAAGTAAGCTTGCTCTAACAGAGGACAAGTGTAGTTCAGTACATAATTATTACATTCATAATACATACCCAGATAGCACAGAGAATTTTATAAGAATTCAGTCGTATGTCACCAATTCTGAGTTCATTTTTAGATACAAAAAGAATTCTTTTCACTAAACTGAACTCTGAAGAATTCTTTTTGCATCTGAAAATGAACTCAGAATTGGTGACGTACGACTGAAATCTTTTTACATTCTCTGTGCTATCTAGATATATAATTGCTATTAAACATAATTTTTTAACGTATTTTTGTAATTGTGCGGCTCCTAGCTTTTATGACATATGGCCAAGATTTGTGTAACAAGTGGCTGATTGTTATTATACCGATTTGCACAAGTAGATTTATGGTGAGAAGTCTGTTGTTCGATTAAAATTCATTTCAACTTAATTGTTTCATAAATTTGCGATAAGTTTACGAACGCCCTTACCATTTTCGATCTCTTCGAAGCGGCGACAGATGAATTTCCGTGGTCCAGAATGCGCGATATAGACTTTCGAATGAGTCCCCCTCCATACACATTTGCTCGCTTAGTCAATAAGGCTATCATAATGAAAGATTGTTTTTTTATATAGTCTCAAGATACTGGATTTCTTATGGAATCACGATGTTGTAATTGCGTAACGGACGATCGAGGATTTACGTTTTTTTCCGTAGCGAGTCGAGTAATCCGTGCGAGATAAATTTTCAATTGGCCTTCTAACCTCTTATCCGTTCCATTAAACTCTTCTATACCAACTTTGCAGTTTAAAGTCAAATGTGGACCATTTCAAAAGAGGAAAAGATATTTGTAATAAAACTGTGATTGAATCTTATAAATAAAAATGTTTTGCTTTTTTATTTGGCGACGTATTTGTTACCAGATATTGCGTCATTTTTTAAAAATTACTTAGAAAAATATGTAACACAATTTCATAGAGTACATCAATAGTACAAAATTGAAAGAGTATCTGTAGCAAAGTAAAATATGTAATTATGTATTTTACAATATTAACATTTTATAGAACATAACATGCTTCTTATCATAATCATATTTTATATATTGTTCTCATCAGCATCAGCATTGGCGAAAAATATCAGAATAATGTCACTGATTGGATTTCACTGTTTTTTTGTATTTTTCTTTCTATTGTTTTTTACAACAGGCACTGGTTCTGGTAAGGGAATCTTCAGCGTAATTATTTTTTTATCGTCCTTATTAGGCATTGCACCGATGATCTTCGCGAGATCCAACAATTTCTTCAAACTCGTCCGTGTCCCCATCATAAGCCGGAACGATTCCAAATCTAGCATGTAGTTCGATATTGTCAGCGCGAGTATCAAGCAGTGTATAATAGCTTTGTCCTTCACAGTATTCGGCCTTAGTCTGTAAAGAGAAAATCAACTTAGCTGTTGCTCAAAACATTACAAGCCAAAAATTTAAGGCTCCTGATCCTCCCACTGCTGCGGAAATCTGGTTTGATGATGTCAGAAGAGAATGCACAACTAAAATTCTTGCGTGGCCATTTACAAATAAACAAATATTCGTATGAAACGTGATATGCGACGTGCATTCCTTTTTAACTTTTCTTACGATTTTGTCACGTTAATTCGAAGAATTATTAATTACCAAGGGAAGAAGATGGTTCTTGGAGCATTTTATAAGTATACTTAAAAGTGGTCTGAAGTGTTCTTTCATACAAATCTTTTTTCAGCCGAAAATAGCATGCAAGAATTTTTGCCATGCGTTTTCTCGCTTCGACGTCATCAACCCAGGGTTCCACAGCTGTGGGATTAGAAGTCTTAACTCACCGTCCGCTCGCGCTTGAAATGCTGTACGTATTAATGATGTGCGCGTTCATCTCTTCGGAAACCGGACATATCACAATGTCACGTTTCTTCGCCTCTTTCATCGGCATGGTGAACCACGCATTAACAGTTTCGATATACAACAATAAGGCAACTTTGTTTACATTATCGGGATCTGATTGTATAGTCCTTAGAGTGCGAGTGAAGAATTTGGGTTTTCTGTATGATCAAGTAGATAAACAGTTAATGCAACAAAGCAGCAAATCTCAACAAGATGCAGATACTATGTTTTTTTTTTCTTGAAGAACCTCTTGACAACAAAATATACTTTTTTCATTCTAAAACTTATTGTGCCGATATACACTACTTCAAAAAATTCTTCAAAAAAGATTAGACTTATTACAGTATTATGAACAAGCTTAAGCTTACCCCTCTATAGCTCCTTTAAGAATTTCCATTGCTTGGTCATATAATGTTTCCAATTTACTCTTTGGTACAATATCATATATATTGTACACATCTTTAACATTAGTTGCCTCCCTATTGCATGTTGGCAGATTTGTATTTGTGATATATTCAGTGGGTACTTCAGTAGACAAATCTTTTCGGTCGACCTCAATATCTATGGGAAGAATTTGCTTAATATTTATGCATAACAAGTGTATTAATACAAACAGGTCAATAAAAGGACATATAGATGTTAACAATACTGTTTCCAAATTTAAAGCTGTGCAATAAAAAAATAATAAATTACTTACTTGATACAGTCTTTTCAAGTTGATCTTTGACAGAATCAACATTCATTTTTAACTTTTCATATTGTTCAGTTCTACGTTTAACTTTCTTTGATCCAAATTGCTTGTTTAATATTGCAATTTTATCGTCTACATTATTCGTATTCTCTTCAATAACTGGTTTTTGGAGTACTGGAGTTACATCCCACAGTTCTGCTTCAATCAGTCGTATTTTGCCTGTGTTTTTATTGTGAAGTACTAGCATTTTTCGTGTTAGCTGTTTCTTAGGGTTTGGTTTATAACCTTTGTAAACCATTTGCCCATTTGACAACGCCAATACAGTTTTGTCTTTTATTTGATCGTGAAATACACCACAAGACATGCTTTTAACTTCTTCATCTTTCAGTTCACCATTTTGGAAATCCACTATGCAATAGAGATTTTGTTTGTGTGTGAAAAGAAACGCAATTTAAGCACTAAATGTATTTATTTCAGTATCATCAAAGACGAAAATTTACATAATGTCAATTTTCAATACTTGTAATACTTGAACATATAATTTTGTTTAAGAAAGAGATATACAGTACATGTAACAATAACGTGGAAAAATTGTTTATTTTACCAATTATTGGTTGAACTTTGGTTGTCTCCACAGCAACATCTTCAATAACCGCTTTAAACTTTTGTTTCATCTTTGTATTTTCATTCAATACTATACGGAATGAGCTCTATACATACTGCAGTTGTTGTGTTAGACCGGTCATGGATCTCTTATATACTAGAATGAGCCATTATAGGTTGGGTGGTAAGGCTGTCTGAAGTTCGCTGATTGGTTAAGTATAAAATGAAACAGCCTTACCACTAAACCTATAAAGGCTCACTCGAGTATATATAGAGCTCACTGGTTATACGAGTATAAATTTGTTATGCTGCTTTCGCACTTTACATATAAATTACATACAAACTGTTAGACACACGTGCTATGTTGAAAATAATACATACAGGGCTACACATACAGATATACACAAGCATCTGTTCTTTGTAGTTACACAACTCAGTGGTGCAATAAGTTAGAGTGAGATAAGTATATTTTTTCTTACTTGCTGGACGAAAATACTCTATTATGATTGGTGCATTTCTGAAGATGGATGGAAATGAGTGGGACCCGATTGACCACGATACGATTGGATACAGATTGTAATGATTGGTTCGACCTAGTAATTCACTAGATAATTCTTTTTATGGGAGCGGTGCACTTGGTCACGGTGCATTTGGACACAGCCAATCACAGCACCGTATGATTAGAGACATTTATAGGGTCCCTTGGAACAGCGACTTGTGATTTATCTATCGTAAACCGTAGACAAGTTGACCAATCACAGTCGAATATTTTCAAAAATAATTTATTGTGGTTGATTAATTTACCTACGACTTATGATTAATAGTTTATTGTAGAAACCCCATTCTAAAATATTCTTTTAGAGGAAAATTTTATATTTGATGCTATTATGGCTCTTGCAGCCAGCGTAATGCACGATGTGTGGTATCCAATGGATACCAATGGTATAAATTTTCCCTCTATTTTATCGTAAATAATCTTGCCTCTGTATGTATATTTCTTAAATTAGTAGTATTGAATTTATTTGAGAGTTTGACAATCATTTCTTAATTTATATTCGATACAAAATATTTTATTATATTAATATACATTGAACAGAGGAGAAGGATATAAAATACAAGTTTATATCATTCTGACTTTATAGTAATCTGATTACAGTAAACAATTATTATTTTATCAGAACATTGATTATTGGTATATCTAAAATTAAAAATATAAAAAATATAGAGATATCTATCTTATAAATAAATATACAATATATATGAACTATCTATTTTAGTATTGTTTAAATATTTCTTTCACAAAACATAATAAATTTACATATTTTTTATGATAATTTTTAAAAGAACATAATTCATAAAAAAATTTACATAAAACCATAATGGAAATATTAGAGAAGATATTAAACTTTATAGTAAATTCTAGTAGAATCAGTGAAAAACAGGCCAAATTTGAAATAAAATCGTTAAAATTATATCTCTATATATATCTATTGTAACAAAATCTACATTTGTGTATGCAAATGAAAAAAATTATATAAACAGAACGATACAAAGAATCACGTGAACTTAAATACTTTCTTGAATAATCTTCATTACCACTTAAGAATTAAAAGGAAAAGATACTTTTGTTAATTTATACATTTGATACATATTTAAACATCGAAATGTCCTTAAATCTCTAAAAAAAATTGATTATACAACTTTCATGTTACTCAATTAGTAAGTCATATTCATCAATTTCCTGAAATGTATTATTAACAGTTTTCACCCACTCATCCAATCTTTTCTTATTCTCTTTGTCTAACTTTGTAAACTTCTTTTTCTTTGCGTGTGTTTTGATCTCTTTTTCGTCCTCTTCATTGCCGCTATTATCCGAGAAATGGAACATTACAGCGCGTTTTCTCTTATATGAATGCTGAGGTGGCTGTAACAATATAAGCAAAAATAAATAATATAATGAATCATCATAATGTTTGAATATAATATCAAGAAATAAGTACCATAGTGAAATGTGATGGTTCTAAATCCACGAATAAAGGAATATCATCCTCGCAATTCGATGGCTTCTCAGACTCGGACAATACATCGAATGTATCAGAAAAGTTGGTGATATTTACAAGTCGATTGTTTTTTTCTACTTCAGGCGGCTTGCTCACTTCGACAATCTGCTGTTTTTTCATCTGTTGGCCACCTGCATTTTTATTTGGCTTCTTCTGCAGCAAATTGTTCCTTAGTTCTCTTAAAGACAATCTGACGGGTGCCGGTGTTATAGCAGACTTGGTCGCGCAAGTTGCCTGAACTTTAGTCGACGCCGGATCAGTTGCGGACTCGTCCTTAGTAGGCGACGTACTGAGCTCGGCATCATCGTCGCAAAAACCAAATGCATTCTCCAATTCTCCCATCGCCGGCTTACTTGGTTTTTTTATTGCACTGCTATTGACTGGAGATGAATGTGCATCATTGAATATACCGTGTTTTGTATTTATCCTAGTGTTTTCTGGCATATCCATTAAATTTAAGAAGTTATTCAGGTTGGACTGACGCAGTATTCTTTGCTCGTTCTTTGAAGCTGCTATGCCGGATGGTCCAGGTTGCGGGTCCACATTTTCGCTGGGCGCAATGCTCTTGATCTCGTGTGCCTTGAACGGGGATAAATTGGAAAGGTGTCGCTTCTTCAATTTCTTTTTCATTGATTTCCTGGGAGTTTGATAATTTGTTGCCACATTTTCTTTATCATCTGTATCATCGAATGATGCAGAGTTTGGTGATGTAATTGCAATCTTATTCAACTGAACATTCGTTACAGAGTTTGCTTCTGTCTCTGTTACTGGTTTTTCACTCACGACTTCCACATTATTATCTTGAATCGTTGTACAGTTGTTTAGATATTCAATATTTGTTATTTCTGTGCCAAACTTTCGGTACACATTGGAGTTCTTTTTATGACCCACTTTATTATCTGATAAATTTTGCAATGAAAAATTTATATTTTTTAACACTATATCACTCACATTTGCTACTTTATCAGCATTGTGAGAGTCGCCCTTTATCTGCAAAAGTTTCTTATGGATAGTGTCCTTTTTGGTCTCATTTGGTGTACTTTGAATGAAGTGTTTAGCCTGAGAAAACACATAAGGCAATTGTGGGGGTCGCCATGGACTTCCAGGATCGAATGTGTCGTGCTCCTTTGATATAGGTGACAATGACTTTATTAATAATGAAGAATTTAGTAAGTTTCTGTATTGCAGCGTGGGTCTTTTATTAAATATATTCGATGATGCCCGAAAGGGCAGAATATCCTTAGCACTACCAGGTGGAGCTTTAGTGATTGTGATATTAGTAACATTTTCAACTGATAAGATCCTTGGCTTCTTTATATCTGGCTTTTTAGTTTGTTCTGCAGATTCTTTATCAGATGGAGGTATTTGTTCTATTGTTTGAATATCTGTATCTACTTTTGGTTCTTCAATTATCTCCAAAGCATATTCCTTTGTTGATTCAGGCAACGGTGGTGGTATTGCTACAGATTCCAATGGAGATTTATGTTGAACAATCTCTATAGGAGGATCTGTATTAGGATCAGAAGATTTATTTGCCTCATCATTGTTAACTAGTTTTGTTTCTACTGTGACTTTCTTTTGTACTCTTTTTTTAATTATTCTACTTTTAACTTGAATAGTCTTCTTCTTCTTTTTCTTCTTAGCTAGTTTTTCTCTTCTATCTTCACTATCATATTTGAAGTCATATACATCATTTGTATTTTCTGAAGACTGCTCAGATGTTTTTATAGTTTTATACACAGGTACTTTTATATTAATATCATCTGTACACATCCTCTCTACCATCACTATACTGTCCTGGTGCTGTGATGGAAGATGCTGCTGCAACAATTTGGAATCATCACAATAATTTACTTTGTTTCGACGTGGTCGTAGACTTTTTACTAACGATTGTCGCTTGAAAGATTCTTGCAACGACATCTGACGCTGCTCTGTAAGGCGATTGGTTACTTTCTTTTCTTTAATGGATACTCTGTGCTTATTTTTGTTTATACTACTACTAATTACAACGTTTCTTTTCTTATTGCGTGTTTCCCTTTTTTCTTGTTCTTTTTTTGTAGATTTCCCAACTTTCTTTTTTTTATTCAGTTTATCATGAGAATAGTTGTTATTTGATTTTATTGACTCATGTTTTCTTAAAGAAATATTTTCTGCTACCACATGTAACTTTTTACTTCTTGTAGCAGTATTAGTCTTTAGTGACCTTTCATTGACAGTAATAATCTTTCTGGATCTGAGTGTTTTATAAGAAACTTTTGTAGACAAATCATGGGTATTTAGACGAAGTGAACGCTTGGATATTGTAGATGTAGCCATTGTGGATAACTATCAAATCTGAACCTGAAAACATGTTACATGCAATTTTACTATATATATACAGGATATTGAACAATTGCACTAATAACACAACCACTGATACAACAAATTCAATCATATAATATAAATTTTAACATTTTATACTTTAGCATTTATATACTTTAACATTTTATCACAGTTACAGTTCGAACTTTACAAAAATATGATGTATGCATATAACAAAATTTCACTGGACAGTTATTGCAAAAAGAATTCAATTGAGGCCAGGGTACCTATTATGGACTTCTTCGGAATCAATTCCGATCGAAAACATTGTTATTTCCTATATTTCTATTGTCTTTTTTAGGGGAAACGGAATTATTCCAATCGGAATTGATTCCGAAGTCTATAATAGATATCCAGAGGTTTGGTTATGTGAAGTTTGACGTGCGCTACTTACAGGTCACCTAAGCGGGAAACTCACTTTTGTACGTTGTAAACGTTACGAATCGTAAATCCAACGAACATACAACCGTAGCAACCTCAACTCAAAAAGTTTTACAAGTTATTATGCCGCGTATATATCACAATATAATAACGATATATCGCAAATATCAGCAACGTAAAATGCTCCAAATAGTAAAAACGTCAAGACCTTAAAACATCTTATGATATTTACGTCGTTTCGCAAACATGGCGATACCAATCAATCATTCCTACCAATTTAACGCGTTTAAATTCTTTCTTATCTTTAACATGGATGCCAGCCAAAGGGAAAGGTTTTTTTCATCATAGGGACATTATTAAATGACATCATTGTCACTAGTATTTTTGGATCGCACGTGTTTAGAAGTTCGTTCTTTATCGAATCTTATATTTGAACCATCTTAAGATCATCTTCAGATACTCCGCCAATAAAAGATTCGTACATCTGGTCTGTTCTTTTCAGCTGCAATGCTGAACTGGTGCAATAAGTTATGGCTCCTGTACACAGGACGCGGTAATGCTTGTCGCGCGGTGGAAGTCCACACGACAGCCAATCAATATGTTGTTTTTCCGTAAGAGCTAGAAGGTTATTACGGAAAGCAGCATATTGATTGGCTGTCGCGCGAACTTCCGCCGCGTGGCAAGCATTACCGCGTCTTGTGTGCAGAAGCCATTAAAGTGAGAAAACATATATTTGTCTCACTTTAACTTATGGCACCAGTTCAGCAGTGCAGCTGAAAAGAACAGAACAAATATCTGAAGATGAATTTAAAACAGTTTTTAATACAAGACCGACTATGAATATCGGCCTTAAAGTTGAGAGAGATAGCAGCACAATATTCAACCGGTGAAGGGTCACTGTGATAGGCCCACAACCAGTAAGAGAGAGAGAGGGAGAGACTATTTCAACCTGTTCTTTGTAGCTGCACTGCTGAACTGGTGCCATATATTGAAGTGAAACAAATATACGTTTTCTCTCTCTAACTTATTGCACTAGTTCAGCAGTTCACACGTTTTGTTTAATTAACACACAAATATGGCTGATGAAAAGTCTGTAGTACAAGAATTTAAGTTGGATCCAGACTGTGAATTGAGATTTGAAGTGGAAAGTAAAAATGAAAAAGTTACATTGGAGGTAAGTAAAATATCCAGAGTATTAATTATAAATATTTTCATATGAATTTGATTTTCAATTATATAGTTTTTCTCTAGTGTGAAATGAAATTTGCAGTTCTACTTGGAGGATTCATGATCAATCGTAAATCTCCTCTCCTAATGTAAACTTGTGAAAAGTAAACATATTTACAAACTTCTAACATCAATGTTTTATTTTTTACGAGTTCATTCTCCCTATTCTTTCTGTTGTACAGATGTTCATCTTTAGGCTATTTCTTTTACCCATTGTTGGTTTACACAATATTAGTAATTTAAAGAAAATGAAAATAATTAAAAAATGTAATTTTAGTTGAAAAATGGCCTGGCAGAAGTATTTGGCACAGAATTGGTGAAGGGCAAGAAATATGAATTCAGCGCTGGTGCAAAAGTCGCAGTTTACACATGGCAGGGCTGCACTGTCGAGTTGGTGGGCAAGACAGATGTCAGTTATGTGGCAAAGGAAACACCTATGGGTCTATATTTGAACTGTCATGCAGCTATGGAACGAATGAGGGAAACAGCTGAGAAGGACGACACCAGGGGCCCTATCACAATGGTTGTGGGTCCTTGCGATGTAGGAAAGTCCACACTTTGTAGAATACTGCTGAATTATGCTGTTAGAATGGGTAGAAGGCCAATCTTTGTTGATCTCGACGTTGGTCAGGGACATATAGCGATCCCAGGCACAGTAGGTGCTCTGCTCGTGGAACGGCCATCAAACATAGTAGAAGGATTCAGCCAACAAGCTCCGTTGGTCTTCCACTTTGGGCATAAAACTCCACAGGCTAACGTGACATTGTACAATTTACTCGTGACACGATTGGCGGAGGTGTGCTCAGACCGACTGCAGGCTAACAAAAAAGCCCGCGTCTCGGGAATTGTCATCAATACATGCGGATGGGTCAAGGGAGATGGCTACAAATTGCTTACGCATGCGGCTCAAGCATTTGAGGTAGACGCGATTCTGGTGCTAGATCAAGAGCGACTCTACAATGAGCTGGTGAGAGATATGCCGGACTTCGTGAAGGTAGTGTTTCTGCCAAAAAGTGGCGGCGTCGTCGAGAGGAGTCAGGCTCAGAGAACGGAGGCGAGAGATCAAGGAGTGAGAGAATACTTTTATGGCTCCAGGACTCCGTTATATCCGCACAGTTTTGAGGTGAAGTGGAGCGAGGCCAGGCTCTACAAAATAGGGGCGCCTGTTTTGCCTGCATCTTGCATGCCGTTAGGCATGAAAGCAGAAGATAATCTGACGAAATTAGTGGCAGTCACGCCAGGACCCAGTTTACTACATCATTTGTTATCTGTTTCTTTTGCCGACTCCCCTGAAGACGATGTGGTGCAAACCAACGTAGCTGGATTTGTTTGCGTGTTAGTAGTCTTATATGCGACAATGCATATACATATTACTATTAATAATTAGTAAATCGGTCTTTTTATAGAAAAATATATTTCATATAATAAATATTGATTAATGACAAAGAAAAATATTAACATAATATATATGAAGAATATATAACTTTTACTTATACGTGTGTATAAATGTATATAAAATTTATATATATATATAATAATTGGAATATTATTTTGCAGCACTAACGTCGATGTTGAGAGGCAGACATTCACAGTGCTCAGCCCACAGCCTAGACCATTACCAAATACAGTTCTATTGTTGTCGGACATACAATTCATGGATAGTCATTAATTGATTTTGTTATAAAATAAAACAGGCAACGGAGTTATATAAATTATGTTATAGTACGGATTACGTTAGATATAAATAATAAAATTGACTGTTATGTACATATATATTTGTATATATATGTGTTATATACATTATATATATATATGCACAAAATATATATGTATATACCAATATTTTCTATATATTTATAAATAAATATATATATAAAAAGAGTATGAAGTATTTGTTTTACAGCAAATGGATGGTTTTTTTTTCAAGTTATAAGCAATATCCTTGGATCAATATTCCCTAAAACATAAGATAACTTTAAATATTATTGTATGTAATTAGAAAAATTTAATATTATTCTTGCAAAGAGGACATGCTTGTAGCAACGCATAGCAACGCTTGTAAAATTCTAGGCAAAATATGTTTTTGATATTTTTATATACTTTAAATTTTTCTTTTTCCCGGTTTACCTTCGATTATTAATTGACTAGATGTATTCACAATTTATCGAGTCTTTAGAGTCGAGCGACACCTATGGAGCATTAAATCAAACTTTGCTCATAAGATCATCGGTGGCATAGAGTTTATTTGTCTTTAGTAATATTTTGTCCATGGTTACGTTTACGTAATGCAGGTATTGCAAAGGTGTGCTGTTAGATCTTTTAAAGATGGCTGCGATCACTTCGTGCACCTGCAGAAATGTGTTTCGTCAAGTGAGTTCTTCTAAGATCAGAAGTTATTATTAACGATTAAAAAAGTTCATTTTTTATTTCAATTGTATAGTTTTTTTTGCGTGTAGTGCAGTGTGAACAAATGACAGTATTGTAGCAGTAATATAAATATGAATGTTTGAACGTCACTGTGCTGTCGCTGTTCGATATATTTTGACATTTCGAAAGAAATTATAACTTATATTTAATATGTGACAAGTTATATAGTATAACTGTTTGATAAATGTAATGTAGCTTTATTTAATATTGTAATTTATCAATTAATTTTTTAAAAAGTTTAATAACTATTTTCTTTTTTTGAGGATAAAGATAGAAAATTATATAATTTAACCCAATTTCACACTTTGTGACAGTTTATAGAAATTGTGTTATAAATGAGGCTAAAGATTATAGTAATTTATTTAAGAAAAAAGAACTTTCTCAAGTTAGTCTTCATAGCTCAATCTTATATATATTATATGTAGAATACAACAATAAATTTATTGTTCACATAATGAAATACGTGTTACATGTGATGCTTACTTTAATTATAATAGAGAAATACTAACAAAAAGCGAAACAATAGCAGATTAATGCTGTTAGAACAAGCTTAACCTTATATTTAGATTGTTTGATCCAAGATTGTTTTCAGATGCTATTCAATCAACAAAAAGGTTCTAGTATTTGAAATGGTTCTAGTATTTTACTATATACAAGATAATCTTAATTATACATAAAATTAAGCTATGAATATCAATTTTAATTATAAGTGTTCAATAATTGTTATTTGTCTAAATAAAATTCAGTAAAAGGCAGGGTAGCTTTGAACAAGGTTTGGGGTTTGGGAGAAAGAATATGTAGAGATGATTTTGTAAGGAGATGGGCATTATTTAGATATCTAGTACAAAGATGTGATGTCGTATGGGGTAGAAATATGGGGGTGGGAGGAAAAAGAGAAATTAGAAAGAATCATGATGGATTATGTAAGGTGGATTTTTAGATTGGATTTCTGTACACCGAGGTATATAATTATGTATAAACTAGGAATGGAAAAATTGAAAATAGGATGGGGTATAAGGGCGAAAAGGTATGAAGAAAAAATTAGGAACAGTAGTGAAGAGAGGCTAATCAAAAAGTGTTGGGAAGAAAAGGAAGAAAGGGGAGGGAAAGATTTATATTGGAAGGAAAGGGAAAGTTATTATAATAGGAATGGATGGGGTGTAGAAAGAGTTAAGGAAGGAATGGAAGGAGGGTGGGATATGGAGGGAGAGATAGTAAAAAGGGAAAGAGACGTGCAAAAACAGTGGATAGAAAGTAAGATTAGGGAGGCAAAGTATAATAAAAGGTATAAAGATATAAGGAAGATAGGGGAGGGACATAAGTATTTGGAAAAGAGCAGTTTGATAAGGATGGGAGCAAAGGCGGGGGGAGAAGTGAGAGCGCTTATTAAGTTAAGGTG